TTACATAGTGTGCAAGAAATATATTGGTTTTACATTTTATAATTTCAAACTCTGTTGTCAACAGGCAACTTATGTTACTTTATATTCCACTCATCACAACCCACCGTAATTCCTCATGGCAGAGCAAAGTAAAATATATTCCTCTGTGCTGACACTACTTATTGTTTTTTGTCTCCTATAAATGATTTGTGGCCCTGCTTTGAATTTGGGGAGGAAAGTGCATTTCCAGAGGCTTTTATAAGAAACAGCACATTCTACAGCATAGGAGAGTCAGTCTCTTAGGAAACAGGAAAAGGCCATTTGGCTCTTTCTCACGAGCCATTTATGTTTTCTCCCGTTTCTTGCTGGCAGGGTCCTTCAAGCCTCTCTTTTCAGAGAAATTCATCAAGCAGTTGTTGAATCTATTAATCCCTTGCCTTAGTTCCCATCGGCCTGCCTCTTCCTCAGGTAATCATTGAAAAGCCCTCTACAGCATCCTTATAAGGTGCAGGTCAGAGTATCTCTTCCATTTTCATTTCATTGTTGATTCAAAGGCTATCAAACGGTAATCGTCAAGAGCATGAGAGGAATTGACACCGTTGTCCAGGAACCTTAGAAAGATTAGGAGCTCTTCCATCCTCTGGTTCTGAACATCCTATCCAAATATTGGCTACCCAAGTCCTAAAAGAGGCCAGAAAGTTTTCTTTTTTTTTTTTTTAAGGTTTATTTTTATCTGTCTTGAGGAAGATACAGAGAGCAAGCGGGAGAGGGGCAGAGAGAGGAGACAGAATCCCAGTCGGGCTCTGCACTGTCAGCACAGAGTTGGACGTGGGCCTTGAACTCAAAAGTGAGATCATGACCTGAGCCGAAATCAAGAGTCAGACCCTCAACGAACTGAGCCATCCAGGTGCCCCCAGAAAGTGTTCTTAGGAGGAGATTTGTACTTCCCCTGTTAAGATATTACACCTTCATGGAACTTTTTTTTTTTTTTTTTTTGAGCCCTAAAGTCATAACCTGTTTTGATAGGATTGTCTACTGGTGTGTTCCAGGTTTGTGTTGAAGGTAGGAGCTGAGAATGATGTTGTGAGTTGTGGCTTGCAGGAGGCAGGCAGGGGGTCTGTCTGCTTCAGGGGGCTGCTCTGATAGTCTTCAGGGATTCCCCTGGGGAGAGGACAACCTGATTTCTCAAAAGGTTCAAAGTCAAGCCAGCTCTGTGAATGCCAACTTCACTGCTATTCGGGGCACTCGTGTTGACCTAAAGAAACCTTATGTACAAAGAGGGAATCACACAGACAGCCGTCCACATTAGTAATAAAATTATGCATCACCGTTAAAGTTCGCACCAGAAAAAACGTTTTTGAGTTTCCTTAAAACACTTTCATGGATGGAGTTGCATTTAAGACATTTTAAGTAACTGAGACTTGCAAAGAATGACATGCGCTGTTTTAAGCTTTTTGCAAATTTGGTTAATCCTCCTTCAGTGCCATCAAGCAGGTATTATTGTTTGCCCCATTGTTACAAATCAGGGGGTTAGGCCCAGAGAGGGTAAGTAACCTGCTAGAGGCTGTCCAGCTAGTAGTAGGAGAATGGGAATTCAAACCCTTACACTGGATCCAGTGCACTAACTAAATGCACACTTCTCCCAGATGGTTTTTGTGGTCATTCCTTTGCCCTTTGCAAACCACCTTCCATATTTTACTTATTTCCTGAAATTTCCCAATAAATATCTCCTTGTTTTTTCACATCTTCATTTTTTTTTAATGTTTTATTTTTTTCTAGGAGAGAGAGAGAGAGAGAGAGAGAGAGAGACAGCGTGAGCAGGGGAGGGTCAGAGAGAGAGGGAGTCACAGACTCTGAAACAGGCCCCAGGCTCTGATCTGGCAGTCAGCACAGAGCCCGACGCGGGGCTCGAACCCATGAACCGCGAGATCATGACCTAAGTGAAAGTCGGACGCTTAACCGACTAAGCCACCCAGGCGCCCCTCACATCTTCATTTTTGATAGTAATCTAGTTAAGTGTAGTTGCAAGCAGGGTAGATAGCCTTTCTAACTGAAGTTAAGGAGTGCTGTATTGAGAAATAGAAACAAAAGTTGCCATTCACTCTTAATGTGCAGGGGAAGAGTCAAATTTATCTCCCAGGGGAGGTGAGGCTGCAGAAGTGTCAAAGAAACAATAGAGAGAGGCAATAGCTCCCGTTCATCCTGACTTTACCCGAGGCTCCATCAACCTAGTCTCTTTTAAATCTGCCCTACAAATGTTTGTGCTGTGTGTATTTTGCTCATTCTAAAACTAAGGAAATTGAAGTTTATTTCTCCATGGCAGTAAATTCTCCAGTTCCAAACCCAGGTCCCCCTACCTGCAGAGCCAACCTGCCCACCTTGCCCCATAGCTCCACATTGCCAAGAGCTAGAAAAGGACCCTCAGAGATAGCCCTCCTCCCCCCCGCCTCACCCCTGCCCAATAATCCCAGGTTCACCTTGCAGAAAGACTGCAAGCTTGAGAATTCGGTTTAAAATGCACTGAAGAAAAGTCGTGCAATCTACGGTAGCCTTAAATCTCCCGGGTGGGGAGTTATTTAGTTGTCTTCTCAAAGGAACATGTTCAAATTTATTTCATTAATCTGAGGTAAGCAGGTCATATTTTCACACACCCTCATTTCCATTCATTCAGCTGCATTGAAGCTGGTTTCCGTGGTTGGCTTCTTCATTGTTCAGGAGAGATTTCATCAACTAATTGAAAAGAACACATCTCTGTCCTCAGCAGAGCTAAATACATACACCAATTTCACCACCAATGCCAGACACATTATCAGTGTCCTGATCTTTGGCCTTTGATACTTTCAAGAGATGTCCCAGGGGAAATCTTTTGCTGGAATGTTAATCTGTTGCTTCACTGACCTTCTACACATGTACCACATTATTATTACAACCCACATGCTTCTCTTTTCAAGCTGTCATTTTGACAATAGAACCATCAGGCAATTCATCTTTAGACTAGAGAGCGGGAACAAAGTGCGTACCAGTAAGTGAAATCAGATTGGCTAATGGTATTGTTTAAATGCAATAACATTTCTCTTCAGAAATCCACCCAGATTTCAAATGATATGTCATTCCTGAGGGGGATGTTGCGCAACAATTAGCTACCGGTGATTCATCACTAGGTCCCAGGGTGGAGATTTCTTTTTAACTTTTTTTTCTGAACATGCTTTGGAAACATAAATTAGTCCCCGAATTGGATCGGTGTGGATTTATCACTCAGGTTTCCTGTCTTTACCATCTTTCTTCTTTCATCTGGCAGATGTTTGTTTCATCTTCAGATTTACTGAAAGCAGGGTGAGGATCTGAGAGCATTTAGCGATACTGAAAAGCCATTTCTTTTAAGCCTCGCCTCTAATGTCAAATGTCACCTCCTCGGAGAGGACTTCTTTTGACCACCCTGTGTGAATAAACCTCACTCCTATTAGTATTTATCCTCTTTGTCCTGCTTTATTTATTTGTTTTATCTTTTTACAACACCTATCATCAGCTGTCATAGGATATATTTATTCACTGATTGACTGTTTCCCACAGCCAGAAATGTGAGTTCCATGAGCGTGGGTGGTGGGTAATCCATCCATTGCAGTCTTCATTAGGGCTTGGATGGTGCTTGGCTCCTAGTAGGGGCTTCAAAGATTAGTATTTGTCAAGTGATAGAGAATCTTCCACCTTAGAACAGACACACTGGACAATCCCTTGGAGGTTCAGAATCTGGGAATCTCACTGATAGCCAGCAGACCTTCCTCTGTTCCGACCTTCTAATGAAAGGAGAAGAAAGAATATTACACACGAATGATTGCTTGTTTGCAGCCCAACCTTGTCAACTGAAACATTTGAAAAATAGGCTGTCAGAAGGTTCTAGTCTGTTTTGTTTCATAGATTCTTTTGCCGTACTGACCATCGTTGTCAAACATCGAGTAACCAAGGTTTATCTATGCACATTTTTCATGGTAGGTGTCAGGAGGGTGCAAAACTGTTTTGGATATATCGTGTGTGTGTGTGCGTGTGTGTGCACACGCATGCACAACTTCACGTTCAGGCCCCTCCCTAGTTACCTTCCATAGGATGAATTGACCTTCTGTATTGCTACTGTCCATTTGCAGACAACCCAATAAAAGCTAACATTGTAAGCCCTATTTATGTAGGCTCATGGGATATTATTTGTTTTTGCAGGGTGCCTTGGAATGCTGAAAGAGTTCATTCTCCTTCCAAAATTAACACACTTACAAGTAACAGGTTTTGCAGAGGAGGTAGGGAATGCTTCAGGATGTAGTTAGGTGGGAAGAGTATAAAGGATTCATCTTCCTTAGATCCTCTGTAGACCATAGTTATTTTCTTTCCCTACTGAGAAAATGACCACTCTTCCTTTGTAGATGGGATAATTACTACATTGGCATAATAACAATTATGGAGAGTTGCCATGGGAATGCACTGTATAATCCTAAGGGGTGGAGAAAATGGGCCAGTGAAGGAGTCCCTAACAGGTGCACTTTTTTGATAGCTGATTATAATATTTCAAATAATTTTCCATTCCTCTATCTATCTACCCATGCACCTACCTACCTACCTATTCTTGTCTTCATGTCTATTTCCCAAAACACTCCCTACACTCTCCTCAAAATATTTGCTTGAATTTCTCATCAGGATTAACATCAGATTCTTACTCTCACCGACTGGAGGCATTTATAAACAAGGGAAGATAAAGAATGTCAGGAAAGGCAGGAAGGAGATAGGAGCTGTGGATTGTATTTAAAAATGTGATCCTCTTGAACCTCTTTAATAAACGATAACATTCTTGGTGGGGAGAAAAGACAGTCCGAAACCACTATTCGTTAGCGATCAAGCAGCTTCACACAGCGCTCTTGAAGTTGGTGAGGCATATGTCCTGGTCGGTAGTGAAAAAGAAACAAATCACGTGACTCGATTCACATCATCAGTCTCAAGAAAGGAAAGGTGGATGCTGAAGAATGATAAGAATTCTGGGCCCTTCCGACACTCCTGGAGGAAACGTCACACACATTTGGACTTTATCACAGTGAACGGCGAGGGTAACAGTGGTTTCTTTGAATGTGGAATTAAGCCACGCGATTGCTGCTTTCCAGGAGTGTCAGCGGGAGCAAGAAATGAACACACGGAAGACCAAAACCTCAGCCGCGAGGACTTTTCTTTTCAAGCACGAGGTTGGTGTGTCCTTTCAAATTCCACTGCAGTATATTCCACTTTGCAGGGTTATTGTGTTCAGTCTTCACTGTTCACTCCCTCTAAAGAAATTTGTAAAAGTGTAATGACAAATCCTGGGGCTGCTTACACCTGCCTAGAAAGCTTCTAATTTCTAATTCATCTCATTGGAGAGTGAATTGTTCAGATCAACTTTTCATTCAAGAAAGACAGAAATGAAAGAAGGTTGATTTGAATTAGTTCTTCTGTAGGGATGAACTGAAATTCACATTTTAGTTTGTCCTTCACCGTTGAGTTCATGCGTCGCTTTTGTTTTATGCTCAAAAGAACACGTGAAATGAAAAACATTTCCAGAGCAAATAAAACAGCCTCTAAAATCTGCCCTTTTGGGGCACCTGGGTGGCTCAGTCCAGTTAAGCATCTGACTTCGGCTCAGGTCATGATCTCATAGTTCGTGGGTTCGAGCCCCTCGTGGGCTCTGGGCTGACAGCTCTGAGCCTGGAGCTGCTTTGGATTCTGTGTCTCCCTCTCTCTCTGCCCCTCTCCTATTCATGCAAGTGTGTGCTCTCTTGCTCTCTCTCAAAAATAAAATAACATTTTTTTTTTTTAGAGCTTTGTATGGACACCTGAGGGGGTTGGAAAGACAGAAGTAAGGTCACAGTGCAATAACAAAATTAATGCTCTGAATTATTAATGCATTCAATACATATGAAGATGTTTTTCAGTTATTTATTTCTTTATTTTGAGAGAGAGAGAACATAAGTGGGGTAGGGGTAGCGAAAAGGAGAGACAGAATCCCAAGCAGGTCCCACACCATCAGTACAGAATCTGATATGGGGCTCGAACTCACGAACCCTAAGATTATGACCTGCGTCGAGATCAAAAGATAGATGCTTAACTGACTGTACCACCCAGGCATCCCTATTTGGTACAGATAAATTGAGCACCTACTGTATGTCAGGCATGGTTCTTGATTCCTATCGCAGCTATGCTAATGAACCATTTGGCACTTATCTGGGCCACTCTGTACCCTATAAGGACTGCTCAGTCCAAGCCAGGATTGATCCCTTGACATAGATTCTGGATATCATTCCTCAGCACACTCTTAAGGGACTGTATCAGTTTCTTGTGGGTGCTATAATGCATTATCACAAACTACACATCTTCTCCCTACAGTTCGAGGTCTGAGGACTGAAATGGATCTTAGGGGACTAAAATCGAAGTGCCCAGGAAGCTGTGTCCCTTCTAGGGACTGCAGAAGAGAGACTGTTCACATTCCTTGGCTTCTGGTCTCATCTCTCTGACTTCTGCTTCTGTGGTCACATCCACTCTGCCTCGGACCCTTCTCCCTCCCTCTTCTAGGAATCCTTATGATTACCTGGCTCTCGCCTCCATACTCTATGATAATCTTTCCATTTTAAGTTCCTTAACTTAACTCCTGTCTGCAGAATCCCTTTTTTCACATACGCAGAACGTATTCACAGGTTCCCAGGTTTGGAACGAAGACAGTAGTGAGGGGCCAGTATTCTGCTCATTCCAAGGACTAAACACCGTGACGTATTTTCCCATTTCTTGTTTCACGTTCAGACTCATTCATCTCTTGCTTTCAGAACAGCATTTGGTCCACTCGAAATGGCCCTCAGATCTCCCAGCCGCAATTATTTCTTCACAGAAACTGCTCTTTGCAAGGTCACCTAGATTCTCCCCACTGCAATATTAACTTGATGCATAATCTTTCTTAATATGTAAGGGCAATGCATTGATGACCATCCCTGCCTCCTTTTTAATAACAATAAGGCAGTTCTCATTATTTAGTGTTAACTAAGCTCCATGCACTAAGCTGAACACTTCTTACACAGTAATTCACTTGGTCTTTTCCACAGCCCCTTGAATCACACAGCTCTCCGGTGCTACCTAGCACTTTCTAGCCTCTGTCTCTAACTCCCACTTTTCTGCCAAGTGATAAATCTAGACAACTCACTGGCCCGTGGGTGTCTCCCTGAGTCACCCAACACGATCTAATCCTTAACCCACAGAAGTACTACCACTCACTGGTGACCAGCCGAAAACAAGGCAGTCATCTCAGATTTCTCCTTCTCTTCCCATATCCCAGAAGCCTCTAAGCCCCATCGATTCCATGTCCTAAGGGTCCTTTGAATCTGTCTCCTCATCTCCAGTTTGATGGCTTCTACCGTAGTTCTGGCTTGTCTTGACTCCTGTTTTCTTGTGTCGCTTACTGAAGTTGCTTCCCATTGATGTGGCACCTTGACGGTTCCCCTTTCCCTGTGTTCCAGTTTTTGCAAATTTGTTTTGTACCTGGTCTCCAGAGTAATCTTAGGAACATATAATTCTCATCCCATCCTTTCCATACTTAAAAGTCTGTAGTTGTTCTCATTTGTTTTCAAGGCTTGTCTTCCTCTTTTCCACTTATTCACTCTTTTCCACATATCTATGCCATTTTCCCCTCCTCTTCCCCCTCTCCCAGGAGACCCAGGACTAAAGTGATCAGCTTAGGAATAAACGAATGGACAAATTTTTCACACTCAGTAAAAAGTAGAATTTCAAGGTGAATTTTTTTTTTTTTTTGATAATTGGAAAAGTTGACATAACAGCACCGGGAAAGGTGTGTCAAGCATGCAAGTGCTTCAGTTGTTTAAGGGCATTGGACTTGGTTTTCCTTTTCTGAAAATCATTGTGTGAATATATGAGAGCCTTAAAGATGTACATTTGACCTTGTATTTCTACTTCTGTGAATTTATGCTAATAATTAAGCACTAAGTATACAGCTAAGGATTATATTCTTGAATATAAATTTACCTGTTCAAGAATATTGCAGCTTTATTCATTAGGAGAAATGTAAAGACATGTCCAACAGTAACCAAATGACTTACAAATTAAGATATGCTAGGATATGCCAGGATATTTTATGAGCATTAGAAATCATTTTTCTAGGGGCACCTGGGTGGCTCAGTTGGTTAGGGGTCCAGCTTTGGCTCAAGTCATAATCTTCTGGTTTGTGAGTTTGAGCCCCGCGTTGGGCTCTGTGCTGACAGCTCACAGCACGGAGCCTGCTTCAGAGTCTGTGTCTCCCTCTCTCTGTTTCTGCCCTGCTCACACACTCTCTCTCTCTCTCTCTCTCTCAAAAAGAACATTAAAAAGTTTTTAAAAAGAAATGTTTTCTAAAGCATGGTATAAGAAAATATTCATAATACAATTTTAAATGGAAACAGTACAATTTTTTTTATCCCATTCAATACATATTTGCGTATATACATAAGGAAAGAGACTAGGGAACAAGCCAAATAAATCCAATGGGTCAATGTGTTAACCTAATGTATTTTATTGTAGATTTGTGTTGGCTTAAAGTAGATTTTTTATACTTAGGTCTTCTTTACAGGGTTAGGGATGGGGGGCATGGATGAATAGAACACAGAGGGGTTTTAAGGCAGTAAAAATATTCTCTGTATGAACCATCATGGTGGTCACACATCTTATACATTTATCCACAATCCACAAGAATGTCCAATGAGAATGACCCTAATGTCAGCTCCGAACTCTGAGGTGATTGTGATGTGTCAGTGAAGGTTCATCATTCATAACACGTGCACCTGTGGAAGCTGGTGTTGCATGTGTGGAAAGGCTATGCGCGTGTAGGGTTTGGGGGTCTGTGGGAAATCTCTGTACCTACCTCTCATTGCAGCTGTGAACCTAAAGGTACTTTGGGAAAGTTAAGTCTTTAAAACATTACTTTCTCTTTATGCTTTGCTGCATGGGCATATGGCCTCCAGAAACAAATGGTCTGGATTCACATTCATCTCCTACTTTCATTTCTTTCCGTGTGACCATGAGCAAGTCACATAACCTCCCTAAAACTTCATTTTCCCTTTGATAAATTGGAAAATGTAGAAAAATGTGTATGTGATGTTTATGTGATACAACCCGTAAAGATTGTAGCCTAGGGTCCGACACCGCGTAAGTGCTCACTTGACTTCTGGCATTGGCACTCACAGGCTGTGAGGCCACACAGAAAATTACTTAGCTTCTGTGAATCTTGGTGAGTCCTTCTGGAGTGAACACGAGGTGCATGGTACCTAGAACTTGGTCAGTGGTAGGTATGAATGACAACACAGAGAATGAGAGGTTGGGTTTTGGCAGCAAAAGTTGACTTATCAAGGGTCAGACCCTAGTGTTGCTTCTTATTCTCTATAGAACAGCCCAAAAAATAATAAAGGCAGTGTGTTTTAGCTTCAGGTTTTTGGTCCTGAATGGATACAGTGTCTTTGTTAGAAGGTGGTTGTGAGGATAGAATGAATATTGTATAAATGTATGCAGTTATTAGCCTGGTGTCTGAGTAAGTCCTTAAAACCTCTGGTTAGTCTTCAAAGGACTGAATGAAACCAAATTAACTTGATGTAAAATTTTCATGATGTTGCTTAGTGAATCATAAATGGCAGAAAGAATTCATAATTGATGATGAGTTGGAGGTTAGCCAAACAACAAAACATGTCCTAGAATAAAAGTGAGGAAATAAATCTATAAGCTTAGAGAAGTTACTAGTAAAGAGTTGGGGGGGTGGTGAGGGGGAGCAGGCAAAAGCATGACTCACTCTAGCAAAAGGCGTGGATTATTTAATAAAAACAAATCTAGTAAGTGGCCTTTCCAGGTCAACACTACTTTTAAATACTTCCCATGTATGGACTGCCTCCCACAACAAAGAAGCTGAAAAGCTGATCAAATGGATCTTGTGTGTCTGGAGGTTGACGTGACTTATGCAGTTGCTCTGGAGAGACTAATAAGTAGACACCTCTTATATCATATTTTCATTCGTACATCCTTGTTATAGGGAAGCTCGAAGAAACTGATTTTTTTTTCATTAAACAAAAACTATCTGTAAAAACAGTCACTTCCTAACTTCATGGGCTGCTGAAAGGTGGCCAAAACAAAAAAAAGACCCCCCAAAATCCCAAAATATATTCCCCCATTTTCTGTAGTTTTCTCGCTT